ATCAATTAAAGATACCTAAATAATTCATAATTTCGGATTTGAAATATTGACTTTGAACCTTCTTTATTAAAATGTCTACAAAATTAGCTATTAAAATTGAAAAATTGTGAGAAAATATTTATTTTTTTAAAAAAGGAAGTCAATTTTCGTAAAATGGTATTTTAAACAGGAACCAAAAATAGTATATAGATATGCACTTTACCCAGAGTTTCGAACCGTTAAGTATATCGGTCGGTTCGTTTCGGTTTTTAGTTTAAAATTTTATAAAGGTTTTGTTCCATTTCGGGTTTTTTTTAAAATTATATCGGTTCGGTTCAGTTTATAATTTATAACGGTTCTTTTCGGTTTGTTTCGGTTTTTAGTTTAAAATTTTAAAGGTTTTGTTCCATTTCGGGTTTTTTTTAAAAAATTATATCGGTTCGGTTCAGTTTATAATTTATAATGGTTCTTTTCGGTTTGTTCCGGTTTTTATAAATTTGATTTTTTAAATTTGATTTTTTAAATAAATTAATCATAAACCCATATATATTAATCTTAGAGAAAAATCTTTTTAATATATTTTATAATTTCCCATTTAATATAACCATGATAATCTACTAGATAGTTTTATTAAACTTGTAAATATAAATTAGACAAATTAATTTTTTTTATTTCATAGATAAATAAGGTAAAAACAAACATGCGCAAATACAATGAGGAATAAAATAACGCATAAATATAATGAAATTTATACTATTTATGTAAACTTAAGGCTATAAAATGCTCTTTCTAAGGATACCTCGTAGCTGGAACTGCTAGCACAATTATAGTTAACTTATAAAGTTCTGGCATACTATTCTTTACATTCTCAGTAATTCAAAAGATTAGTATCTTTTTCTAATCTCTCCATATTATCAAACATTTATTATAATTTTCTCCCTGAGAATTATTCTTATTAAGGCTTTCATGCGCCTTTAATAAATCAATCATCATCTAAATTATCTTTCGAATGTGAACACGTAGGCACAGTATCTAGAATTTCAATATTCTGATTATTTAAATTTTGTATCAAGTTCCAAGTTTCAAAAAGATGTTATTTAGCGATCTCTTTTTCTTCAAATGTTAAAAATCAGTACTTGATTTTTATTAAATGATAGTTATTAATGATAGAATTATTTGATTTTTCCCTAAATTATTAGCAAGTGTTATTATAAAAGCTAATTAATAACTAATATATATAAGAACTTGTTAATTTAGCCAAGATTAGTTTTGTGTGATTTTAAGATTATATCTTATCTAATTAACTGGTAATTTGCCTAATCTCTAATAAATTAAGTATTTAAATTAAAAACAATAAACTTGGAATTGATTGATATGTAGTAGATAATATAAAAAAAATTTACTTTGAAAGAAATCACGAATTTAAAAATTGCCCCCGAGGAAAATTGAAATTACAAATTTAGTAATTTAAAATTAATTATTTTTTTAAAACCGTTTTGAACCGGTTTAAAATATTTATAACAGTTCGGTTCGCTCTTTTTATATTTTCTTTATAACTGTTCGGTTACGGTTACGGTTCAGAAAATTATAACGGTTAATCCCGGTTTGGCGGTTCGGTTCGGTTTGAAATCCTAACGATACCTACGGTATCGATGAGTAATCAGTGAGTTTTTTTAAAAAAGTCTAGTTCCTGATACCTTTATATTTTATATTCAAAATTTCGTCCAGGAACGTTCCTCCGAATCCCTGATTTCCATTAAAATCTATAAATCAATCATTTGAATAATTCTTTATTCGTATTTAAACGATTTGATTAATTTACTATTCGTATTTGTTATTGATTGGTTTTTGAATAGGCTTTAATCACTAATAGATAATATAATGTATATTTTAAAAAAAACAATACTATAAAGTATTATAAAATTTAATTGGTTAGATGACAAAAGAATATTCCCTCAGACTGTTTGTAGGGTTCCATCCGATGATCGTGATGGCACAAGACAAAACATTTGATGTCAGATGTCCTATAGAACTTCATTTCAAGCACAACAGCTATATCAAGTTTTTTTCCCCTCCCCTGTTAATCCTTTTATTATTTATAATCAAATTCGTATCTCTTTTTTTTCTAGACCTTCTAATCTTGAAGCCTCTCTAAGATTTTTCCGCTTATCTAGCAATTCCACATTTATTCCATCCAAATATCTAATATTTGGCGAAAAATATTATCTTCGCGCTAACTTGATAAACAGTAAGTTTTTTATCATAACTTTAATTCATTACAAATGCGTATTTTTATTCCATTAAAATTATTTTTTAAATAATAATATTTTAATAATCTACTTAAAATAGCGATAAAATAATTTACTTTTTTGATATTTTAGGGTTGGCTCGTCTTAATTTTTTTAAATTTGAATAGGAATTCAAAATTATGTGAGCTCAGGCAGGAGAAGCGGCATAAATGTTTATTTCTTCTTTTAATTCATAATATATAGATCGATACGGTTATTATATCGAGACTTGTGAAATAGTCAACGACCACACTGACTCTAAAATCAGTCTTTTAACTTACGCAGGGTACATTATTAAACTTAAAAATTTGTCATATTTATGGTGGGAAAAAAAGGCAGAATTCTCAAGAAATTAAAAAAAATTATCTTCAGATTTTTTGAATGGGGCGAGTGCAGGCGAACTAACCCGCGAAATCAAATTAAACCATGATAATTTTTTAAGCCTTAACCATAACTCTTATAAGAAAATCTTAAAAGGGATAGGAGAACGATTACGTTTCGAAAATGTTATTATAAATAAATTAAGTAACTCGATTTTTATAGATTATTTCATTTTTAGATGCTCCAGGGATATGAATGTCATCAGCGATTTCGAGAAAAATCAAGATGGTTCGTATATAGCTGCTATAGATTCCATGTTCTATTATCCTCCTTCACAGAGTCTCAACATTCAGTGCAAATTTTTACTGTGCACTTCTGACATATGTCAAAAGGTTTGATAAGATATAATTCTATAAAAAAATAAATAGACTTGTAAATATGACATATTGAAACCTCAAAAATATAATTGACATTTACTCTATTTTTATAATGTAAATTCATAAGCCCATATGCGAACTCCCATTTAGACAGAGGAAATTTCCACTCAGCACCGAAATATTAGTATCAACGACCAATTATGTCATTAAGCCAGGGCAACTCCCGGAAAGTAAATTTAAATTCTTTTATTATTATAAATTCTAATGTTTAAACTTAAACGTTAAAAGGCTTAATAAAAAACGAGGAGTGTTCCAATTATTTACTAATCTCAACCCTTTGCACAACTTTCGGATTTTTATGGATCATAACTACTATAGTTCTTTTCACGATGTTTCTCGGGTATCGTAAAAGGATTAGGAATCTCAAGAAACTTGAATTATTTAGTAATGTATCAAATGCACAAAATTCTTCCCAAGATGGAAACTATTTTTTATTCAATCCGTTTAGGTTTAACTGCAATAACCAAATCAACAATAATCAATTGTTAGATAGTTTAAAATTAGCTTCGGCCAAAGTATTTTCAAAGAATGTCCACGAAAATAATAATATCAATTTTCACAGAATATCTGATGTCGAATCATCTCCGGACGGCTCCTATGCCATAGCTCAAAATTCGAAATATTATGATACTTATCAAATGTCTCCCAACAATGGCCTTCTAGAGTCCCCCATATATTTACCACGATTTTATAAAGACGAAAAAATTAGCAGTCAGGAAAACGATGTATCTTTAAAGGCATCCGGTTTAAATAAATTTTATCCATCCTATAATGCTCGTTTTATAGCACCGAGTGAGAGAGGCCATAATAATAAGGAACATGGTGCTAATGGCGATACCTTTGAAAACTATTTTAACACAAATTCAGCGCTCCCTTTACATAGCTCTCATCCTACAAATAGCGATGGATTCACGCAGTCTAAGCAATCAGATCTACATAGAATGCTGAGCGAACCAACTCAGGAAATATCCCAATATCTCGGATTCACTAAAACCTTTCAGGAAGACATATTCAAGAGCTTGCCTAGTAATGAAGATTATCAATACAAGCATTTGGCATTCAATTGCGGAAAAACTTTCTTCAGTGCCCCTTACCCCCAACAAATCAGTAATTTATCCAATATTAACTCGATTTCAACGCTGAGCTCTTCAAGGCTGAATTTCAGTGGCACATCCGATAACCATTTTTTAGACATGGATAGGTTTCAACATATTCCACAGCAGGCCCCTTCAAAAGTTAATGATTCTAATCTTTTGAGAACATATAAATCGGGTCACTGTCTTAATTATATACAACAAGATTCCCCCAGTAACTCTTCACTCTCTTTCTCACTTTACGATGCGAAACGTAAATATACTCAAACTTATGACAAACATCGAAAGGGAAAAATTACGCCTCCCATACATCATTCACACTCCCTTAATTTTGACAATAAAAGATTTAGGAGGAATCCATATCTCTGCGATAATAAAGCTAACATCGATCGCATCAAACGATACAGCTTCTCCGGTTTATACATATAAAAGATTTATAATTTTATAAATCATATGACCCTAATTTTAAGCCCAAGAAATAAAATGGATATGGGCAAATTATAATATTACATAAACACTTTGTAAATATGAGTAAAAGAAAAAAATTGTATGAAGCCTTTTTGGGTTGAAATTTCTGTTTGTTTACCACAAAAGCTATTAAATTAAAACATTGCCAGCCACTAAATAAATACTACGTAAAACTTATTGATTCTTCTAATATATTTATACAAATTTGTTTTTTTTTAATAATTTTTTTAAACATCCTATCCTTCCTACTATTATTTACTATTGAACTAAATGGTATAGGTCGCTTGTCCAAAAAAAGAATATTATAAATTTTCATTTTATTCAATCTCTTATTAATATTATAATAATAATAGATTATAAAAATGTATGCGATGTTATATAATGTATTTTATAATAAAAAAATTATGTTTTGTTTTATTATAAACATTTTGATGTGTGTGACAAAATACCAAATATTCATAGAATACGGTAATATAATAAACGAAATGCAGCGAATATGACTTTTTTTTAATATCTATATATTAAGTATATTTTTTTATGGATTGCAACTAAAGGAAGGAAGCGCGATATTAAAATTTATCCGATTGATTCCATCTATGTCAAATCTTGCGGAAGATTTTGAGAATATACGATTATTGGGGAGTTGATGAATTTAGCTAGTTATAATAATCCTATTCCTTTTTTTTCTTTTAGATAATTTTTTAACTACTGACGCATTGCATGCAATTTGGTCGGATAAGAGATTAACATACACTTTTTATATTATATCTTGTATGAAATCTTCGATATCTGTTTTGTCACTTTCCCTAGTTAATATTTTGACTAGAGCAGGGATGTAGTTGGACCTTATCCAAATACCTATTTTATTTTAATTTTAAAATGAACAGATTATCTTGTATTTATCTTATGCCTGATCTTTTTTAGAAATTAATCAAAAATAGAGATATATCGGATTGATAAATTTAAAAATATCAACTTGATATTCTATATTTAAAGAAATATGCAGCAAGGCACAGAGAGATATAACAGAGGTCACATTAGATATGCTGAATTTTACACTTATCTTCTTAATAATTTATCTAAAACATTAGAGCTAATTGCCAAATCCCTCCCAATAATGATATGATAACTCACCCACGATCCTTTGGTCATTTTTGGTTTTAAGCCTGATAATCTGCATTTTGGAAGCCGCGGAGGAAGAATTTGCGTTATTAGAATTAAAACTATTAGTGGATCCAGAATGAAATGAAAGTAATTCTTCCAAACAATTCCACACAGTGAGAACCGATCCTGCTAACAGGTGGTATTTCCTGGTTCTTATGCCTATTTCGCAACCCTGGGTTGTGTTCTTTTTCTTGCAGCTACCTTTCCTAAAAAATATATTTTAAATAGTAATTTAAAATATCACATCACATCTGATTTGATAAACATTAGGACAACACAACCTTAGACAAATTTCTTAATTTTAGAGCCTTAAAATTTGTGTGATAAATCTTATTTTATTCTATAATTTAAAACCAATTTTTCTTGCCTAATAAATTTTTATAATAATGCAGGATTACTTTACAAAAAAAACTCAATAATATTTAAAAAATAAAACTTTTCCTCGAAAACAATTTACTGGCAATCGTAATCATAAACTGATAGTTACAACAAAGAGGAATTTATAAAAAAATTAAGTTTTAAAATGTCAAGGATTAATTACCATAGTACATGGGTACATTGGGTCAGAGAAGAGTTATATATATTTTCCCAATGCTCTTGAGCTTCTTGCGGCGGAACCTGTGTTTAATAGTAAATTTTTTTATAATAAATATCATAAGTGAAATTTATTTATAATTCGAATTTCAAATAAGTTTTCGCATAATTGAATAATAAAAAATTAATTTTTTTTAAAATAAATAAATCCAAATATTATTTTTGTATGATGGTTACTTTATCTAGTATTGTTTAAGCGATTTTTAAAAATGGCTAAATCCAGATTTTATCCAAAAATAATATTATCTAAGCCTCGAGATTTCACTAATAGATGTCCAAACCTCTGCACTATCTATGACCAAAATCTTTAAGCTTGCGTAATTGACTAAATAAGTTAGACGTTTTTTAAAATCGACTAAATCGAGCCGTTTAACAAAACAAACTTTATCTATCCAGTTTTTAAACTAAATGTTCAATACATTTTTTCTATAAATAATATATCGATAAAATAACAAAATCGTCAGTATTTTTTTCTAAATTTTATCATTATAAACAAATAATAAATGTGTGTCACATTCATCTGTTCGGCCAAATGACAATGAAAATATTTTTCCCCGATTCGCTATTAAACATTTTCTCCCCTCGTTATTTTAATTAATCACGAGAAAAATATATACTGAACAAATTTTATACAAAAAATAAAGGTTTGCATGATTAGTCACCATTTAAATAATTCCTATTTTTTAAAAAAATAAAAATCATAATTTAAAAAATCTACTTGTATTTTAAATAATTATTAGTTTTAATTTTATCTATTTTTATAAAAAGTTTTTGTTATGTAAATCCTGTAAATTTTTTTTGTATAATAAACTTTACAAAATTCATTTCTATATTGTTAAATTTTAGGAGACATATAAAAAATATCCGCATTATTTGTCTTGTTTAATTAATAAATCTTCCAATTGCTCAAAAATTTTTGGTAAATTTGCCTCAAATATTATTTTCTTCGAAATCATATTTTTATTATATGATAAAATTCGATTTAAATAAAAAAAATCGTGATTTAATCAAATAACTTAATTTTTTTAAAATTTTTATACTGCCATATTATACCTAAAACGAATTATTTGTTATTCGATATTCGATTCGATTCGTATTTTACGAATACGAATAACACAATTATTCGATTCGTCGAATAAGGAAAATATATTATTCGTCGAATAATTTTTTATCTATTATTCGATCGAATTTTTCGAGATTATTCGACTAAAATAATTTATAGTATTAATATATATTGGAAAATAATCATATATAAATCATATATTATTATTAGGAATTATTTGAAATTATTTCAATTTAATAAAATCTCCTAGTGGAATAATGAAAATTGCGCCAAATTTTGAAACTCCATTTTAATTTATCTCATAATAGACCATTACTTTAGAAATTTCTTTTATGATAGAAATGGACGAAGAAGGTAATTTATATAACACATAACATATACAATTATAATAAACTGTTAATCCCATCACATCAAGAATGACGGGCAAACCTGATATTTCTCTTTCATTTGATGATGGAGAAATCATAAATTTGACTTTTTGCCTAAAGTTTTTACCACTTTATTTGTAAAATATTGCTAATGCCGTGTTATCTAAAATGGCGAGGGACATATTGTCGATACAGGGATCTTCAACCCCATGTGAGCGACTCTTTTCTGTTGGAGCTCATATGGTTACAAAATACAGAATGTCGTTAAAGGAGAAAACAATCCGAAAAACTTTATGTTTGAAAAAATGGCTGTTGTCAGATTTATCTTCTACATTATAGATATGAATATTATATTGATTTTTCCACATATAAATATATTATATATGTATGCTTCTATTTTGTCTCACTAATAAAATTTGTTTGTCTTTATCCTTAGTTAAATTTTACAAAATAAATTTTATAATAGATCTTTTTTAATTCATGGTAAATAAAATTTTCGAATCGAATCGAATAATCATTTTATTATTCATACGAATACGAATAATAAATTATTCAATTTAAACGAATACGAATAATTCCATTATTCGATTCGATTCGTATTTTTGTAGGTATAACTGCCAACCGTAAACATTACTAATGAGTTATTTAAATATAAATTTCTATTATAATGACCAAATAATAATTTTATAATTAAAATATAAACAAATAAGAAAAACACTATACTGATCAATAAATAAAATATTGATCATTTAAATACTGGCTGATTTAATTATTCGCCTTTAAATGTGTCTGATTATTTTCCTCCAATAATCAATTCTAGGAAGTCCTAGGACATTAGTGCAACTAGGAGATCTAAGAGATGATGGCGAGGGATGTGAATTTCTAAAGATTTTACCTTTCGGTATTTTTTTGTTAGAGAAGCGAGAGTTTCCAATTTGCCTTGCAAACCTGTATTAGGTCGGTAAATGTTAAAAAGTTTATTTTCGGCCAATTTTTCGACGTTTGTCGAAGCGGTAGAATTTAAAGCTTTGCGAGATACGTATGATAAGGCTAAGATAGGGGCATAGATCCCATTTTTGGCCTAATTTATTTTTTTTGAATGATATTTAATATATTTTTTCAAAAAAATGAATAAATATAGATTTTTGGGAAAAAGTTTTTAGGTACAAGATAGATGATTAATATATTTACCAAAAAAACCAAATTCAAATTTTATCTGTTAGGGATTCTTCTACCATTTTACAAGTACCCCAACAACCTTATAAGTGGGAATCATTCATTAAAACACAGCAGTTAGATGATGTTACGACATGCGATGAATTTTATATAGGGAGAATACAAAAAAATTAAATGTTATAACAATCTATAACGAAAGCCTCTTATATAAATATCGTAATTAAAAGTATAAATCAACAATACATCCATTTAATCAATGCGATAAGAATTTTTTTTTAAACTTGTTTAGAAACGAAAAAGCCGTCGTCCAGGTCCTGTTGGTCCCTGTATAACTTGACAGCGATTTCCCACTGCAATCCTCTTTCTATTTGAAATGACCAGAGCTGGCACGAGACTACGCCACGAGGTGAGTGGAAATGAAAGGTTTGTTTTCGTAAAGGGGTTATCGATTCGCCACTTGTACCAAAATCTTCATCATTTGTTTATTTTTTTTAAACGAGGATTTTTTAGAATTTAAATGACTTATGAGAAGCAGATATTTTAAGTCGGGTGGGGACTATTTTATTCACCTAATATTCCCATATCCCATTTCCCAGTTCTCTTAGCGTCCAGTATATAAGCGTTTAAACTATCAGTAAAATACTGAAATATAGTGTTTTGTAGAATGACTTTCAAGCCAAGTATTCTGTTCAGGAATTTTACTATGTTTGCGTAATCTAAAAGTTTTTTTAAAAAAAATATAAAAACAAGATGAAAATCTTCTATTTAGGAATTTTACTATGTTCGCATCTAAAAGTTTTTTTAAAAATATAAAAACAATAATAAAATTTGTAGTAATATAAATCTTAAATTTCATCATCATATAAAATTTATCAAAAAGAGAGCTTTATTCCTATACATTTATATAGCATTAATTCAATGTTTGAATGAATGAATAACGAACCTTTATCCAATGAATAACAGCCTTCTCTCTCTTTGACTACAAGTCCAACAGCAATGAGTCCTTCTAATGCGTCTAAAAAATATAAATAAAAATCGTAAAATTTTAATATTAAAATATTATTTATTATAATGTTTAATTATTTCAAATGAAAGAGAACTTTTACAAGTCTATTATTGTTATGTTCCTGAATTTAACAAAATTTTAAAAATCTACTTTAAATAAAGTGCATAGATAAGTTTATTAAAATTTACCTTTGAAAAAATTTCCGTTGTATTCGGGAGGATCAACCACGGCACAAGTGGGTGATAATATGCTTCTCATTACGCTATCCAGAGCCATTCTACCGTACTTTTGGGGTATAATTTAAAAACGAGATTATAAGGGTGATTTTTCGCGCCCTCAAAAAGGTGATTTATTCGTTTTCATTAATTGCCTTAATTTTAGACAAACTAATATTTATGAGGTAAGGCTTGATAGCCAAGGGTTAGAATAAAAGAGGACAAGATCTGATGCAGTCAAGGGTTAGTCGGTTGTATTTTTTAAAAATAAAATACAAATACAAACCAATGGCTTCAAATAGTTTCCAAAATATGAAGAAAAAAAATTGATAAATCTAGAGAACTTACACAAAATTAACAAACAATTTTAATAAACTTATTAGAATTATTAAAATTTCAAAAAAAAAATGATAGTAAAATGTTTTGGATATGTTTTTAACGATAGAAAAAAAGGCTTATTTTATAAATCGAATTTTGTCAATTTTTTTTTCACGTTATGGATACAGAAAGATTCAAAAGAAAAATATTTTGATTATACTATAGGTGTACTTTATTGTCGAAATTGAATTGACTGAGATCACGAGATTCTGTCGCCCTTCTATCACCGTGGGTTAAAGCGCCCTAATTATAATTAAGTAAAAGATGATATTGTTGACCATCTTATTTGTAAAAAAAGATCAGCATACTCGTTGTTATAAAAAAAAATAGTATTTCATTATAAGTGGTATCTTTAAAATTAGATTAAGTAATTAATAATTTTAGGCTTCTTAGTTACATTCGTAAGATAAAACAATACTTATTTTTTTAATCCAAAAAAAATATTAAAGCATTAAAATATTTTATTTTCAATTAAAAAAATATGGAAATACTTGCCATCAAATACGCAAAACACTGTAAATATACTTACTAAAGATTCCAATCTTTTAGCTACTATAGAAGCGAACCGTTTTTCCCCGGCTAACTTTGAGAGCAAAAAAATGTATTCGGGGGCGCTTACTTGATTAGACCTATGGGTCCTACCTTTAATGTATTTTATAAATAATTTAAACAGAGTATTTCAGCATTATATCACGATATAACTTTAATAATATAACCCCTTTTAAAAAAAATCTTAGCCTTCACAATTTTAACAAGAATATTACACTAATAATTTATAATCTCACCGAATTGCTGTATGGCTTTATCAGCGCTCCAAGGCAATTCTAATGTAATGTGAACCCTACGCAACTGATTGAGAACTCTTCGATCGGATTGCAGGGAGATACCAGAGCTAGCGGCCTCGGATATTATAGCTATTTTCTGATATTTAAATATAAAAAGTTATCTACATGTTTATATGCGTGAGGGAAGAAGGGGGGGGGGGGGGGGGTTGCAAATAATTAATCATTTGTAAATATCCCCAAAAATTTAATGATGGCAAATTCACATATTATACCTTAAGGCCATCCATGAACCTTTGCTTTTCTTTGACGTTCAGGGCTTCTAAGGGAACGTCGATTTCGCCTCGCGATTCGTATATTACAGTCCCGTCTTTCTGAGCCACTACCCTTCCTTTCCTTCCGGTCATCTTTAATAATTTTATTAAATTAAAGAATATGAATAAATGAATATATTTCAAGTTTCATATACGTTTATCATTTTTGTGCAAAAAATATAATTACTCAGTATTCTAATTAAACTAAATCTACAACTTTAAAATTGAGATAAATTATAATTATTGCGTATTCATATTTAAGTAAATTATAAAACTTATTAAATAATAGCAATTAGCAGTGATCTTTACTAATACATGGCACTCGAAGGTTTATATCCTATTGAATTTATTATGAATAGGGATGATAAAGAACAAACGTTTTATTTACCAAAGGAAAATATAAATAATTTTGCTCATTTTGTCAAATTGGGTAAAAACACAACACTAAACTTCTTTCTTTAAGAATTTTTATAAATATTTAAATTTTTTCTTTGTATTTTCCCGTTTTTATATTTAGAAAAAACAAAATTTTATGTTTGTTTTTAATGGCCTCAATTATAATTAATTTGCATCGTAGAAACCTCGGCAACTTGTTCGGGCCCGCCCAATTCTTCGATAAGTTGATCCAAAGTGTTAGGGGGTAGCCGCTCTCCGAGTTCTTCTATTTCAGCGAGTAGCTCCTGCCTCATGAGAGTTATGTTGTCCCTTGTGTTGGATATGCATTGGGAGGATGGAAGAACGAAGCCTATAATACAATTTTAAACGTTCAAAGGAAAGCGAAAAAATAACGTTTATTTTAAGGGTTATTTTAAGTAAAATATGTATTTTTTATTTTAAAAAAACCATTGTAATGGTATTGTAACATATCTGTCCCCGTACTGCTCAGAAGATCCCTAATGTCTTCGATATCTTTGACATCTTCGAGGCTGTTTGCTTGTATAGTTTCTGTGGAATCGTCTTGTTGCTGTTTTATTTCAATTGTTTCTCTATTTAATTCAATGTTTTGTGAAGATATTTCGACGGTTGGCGGTTCATTATCAGTCATTTCAATTTTTTTCCTCTTTTTGTCCCTGTTTTTGTATTGCTTTTTGCGCTTGGTTATGAGCCAAGGTTCTAAAATAAAAATACTTTTATAGTTCAGGTTTCAAAAAAAAGCCTCTACGACCAAATGTTATCCTTATAAAATCAAATATTTTATTCTAAAAAAAAGAAAAGGAAAGAAATCTTTTCAAACCTATTTCTTCGTCGAATTCGTCGCCGCTCCCGTACATGTTAAAGCCATTACCGTTTGTGCCAAACGGATTACTACCTACATCTTCATATTTGTCGTAATCGTCATCGCCATCTTCGAGCGTTCGATCAAACCGATTGGAATCGGGATCGGAAAAACTATCCCCATAATTATTTTCGTCGATTAAGCGATCTTCCATGTCATTTTGTTCCTTATCGTTTTCTAAAAATTAAGGATTGAAGATATTTTGCAAATTAAATAAAGAATTAATGTATTATAACTTTTTATAGAATCATACATTTTCGAAGTTTCAAATCATTTAGATAACGTAATTAATAACTACAGTAATTTTTTTAAAGTATCGTTTAGAGGACCAAGGGGTTAATTATTTAAAAATAAATAAATCTTCAATATGTAAACTATAATATTTATTTAAAATTAATTTTTTTACCTTTAAAATATAAATTTAAATTATATTATTTAATTAAAATAACTCAATTTCTTTAAAAAAAAATTTTTTATATAGATAAAATTTTTCATTCCTTAGTGTCTTGGCGTTCAATAGAGTTTATGAAACCTTAATTTGAGAGCCTAGTATATGTTAAATGTTATAGATAATATTTTTTGATATATCATCAAACCGTATCATTTTTAATTTTAAAAAAAGTTTTAATCCAAGGTTTAAGATCAAGAATAAAACCTAAATATTCGGGGGAACTATTTGCTGAGCTAGAAGAAGAGTCAAGACTAGCATTTGGAGGTTCTAAAATGGGTTTGCCATCTTTTTGGTTCGAAATGAGATTTACGTCGAGCAGTTTGACTTGAGATAAAGTGTCAGACGAGGAAACTAATTTAATTTATTCGAACAAAAATATTGTAACGGTTATTTTATTTTTAGTCAACTAATATACCCGCTTATAATGTTTCTCAACGGTTTTGAAATTTAAAAAATTAAATTATTTTAAAAAAATTAATATTTTCTCAACTTGAATCAGGTTTGAGCTCGTTACTATTTTCGGTTGATTGAGGAAACCCGCTTTGAGTTTGCGAAATGAGGAGATTCGATTCGAGTTGTTTCGAGTTAGCCAGGTTTAGAACGTCGGCTACCTTTTGTTTCAAAAGATTTTCTTTCGCTTTCAAGGAACTCAAGGTGGCCGTCATCGTGGAATCTTTGAGACTTTCAGCGCGACGCGTATTTCTCAAGGTAGTCCCTAGATATTTCAAGATGGAGGAGAAAAAAAGAAATATTCGAAAATAAATCGCGAAAGAAAGAACGAAAAATAGAGGAAAAAAGAGTTTGATTCTGTAATTTTAAAAAGTAATGTTTCTCGTAATATATTCATTTTTCTTGACGAATTCAGTGATCATTAATATAAAAATGGGAGGGGGGGGGGGGAGAAATATTGAAATATAGATGGATTACATTTGCTGAGTTTGATTCTGTCGGGATTGAGCAGTGTGGTATTAGAGAGGTAGGCAGAACTTGCGGACGTAAACATAGAATTTTGATTAATGAGCGAATTGGTGGGATATTTGGAAAAACTATTCATGCTGCTAAAGGGGTTCGATGAGCACGATGGGGCAACGTAATTTGTGGAGGAGGGAAAATGTTTTTCTACCAAGGACTGTAAAACGCCCCTAGTAAATTTAATAGTTATAAGAGACAAATGGCATATATTATTTATGATAAATTCCTAGATATTTTAGCTTATCGTAGGGTTCTAACTCCGCTTTGAACAATTAATATAAAGACTGGATATGTTATTATATAATTTTGTAATTTGCATGTAAAAAAAAAGGGTTGGAGGAATAACTTTAATTTATTCGCTCAGAATTAAAACTGACAAGAGAAAAAAATCCTTAAACGTTCAGAATAAATACTTAATTCTCAGGTAAAACTTAATAAGCCAGAAAAGATACTAATTACTCAGGTATAAAACTGAAAAGTTCAGATTAAGAAATCAATCGCTTAGAAAAATTTATAAAACGCTAAGGAAAATATATTAAACGCTTAAAAAATTGCTTAAGATTTTGAAAATATCTTCTAATAAATTCTAAGTTTTAGGAAAAAAAATTTCTAAAATTTCAGTTTTTATTCTGAGCGAAATAATATAAGTCGATTTTTTTTGTTAGATCATGCAGAGTTGTTAAACTCTACTTTTAAAAGTAGCGCGTTATCGCTACCCATCAAAAAAGTAGCGCTATTAGCTACTATTTTTTAAAAGTAGCTTTGTCTACTTTTTGTTAAAAAAATTTAGAAGTTTTATTTTTTGCTTATAATGTAACTGTATAGTATATATTACATTAAAATCAACATTTATAAATATTTAAATATAGTTAGTTTTGATTATAAAAAATTTATGTAAAAAATAATTATTTTTGGTAGTAATAATCATTTTTATTTATTTTTTTGCATTTTAATAATAAAAAAATTTCTATACTATTATCCCCAAGTCTAGAGCGACTATCAGAAAGTATGTTTGGCCTTACTAAATAATCTCTCAACACTAGAACTTGAGGTCAAGACAGTATTTAATTTTATATACATATTTTTAATATATGAAAAACTATTAAAAATCCTCATTTGAGTATTTTTAGATTAAAAAAACGCGTCTAGGGGATTTTCTATTATATTTTTATAATTTATTTCAAAAATATCATCAATGGAAGTCGTTTTTGTGATGGTAACTGGCATAAACATTCTCATAAATTAAATACTATTAGAATTTAAAAATGGCAATTACCTTTAGGTGTTTTTGAGGTTATATAGCTACTTGATTTATTTAAGGATATATTTTTTTTTACATTTTAAACCAATAAATTTGTAGCCACCTTTTGTTTTTACATTAATTTGAAAATATTTTTCAAATTTTGGAAATGGAAAATTTTTATGACCATCAAGAACATTCATTTTCTTCCAGGAACATTCCATTAATACAAATTGAAAATAAAATATCAATTTCAAAATTAAATAATTAATCATAAAAATTATAATTAATTATGATATTATATTTAAATTTTTATGTTTATAGTTACATTTATTATATTCTTAAAAAGTAATTCAAAAAAGGAAGCGCGCTAAAAAATAAATAATTGGAAAAAAAATAGCGCGCTATTAGCTATCGCTACCAAAAAAGATAGCGTGATATTAGCTATCGCTACCAAAAAAGATAGCGTGATATTAGCTATCGCTACCAAAAAAGATAGCGTGATATTAGCTATCGCTACCAAAAAAGATAGCGTGCTAGTAGCGAGCTACTTTAACAACTCTGAATAATGGCACAAAATATTCAACCAACTGTATATATTATATTAAAATCTAGGGTAAAGTATATCTAATGATGCATACTTTGCTGTCGATATGAAATCATTTATTTCGCCACCACAATCTTCGATTTGTTCAAGCGTTCGAGCTTCTCCCGTGGTTTGTAAACCTATCACCACACACTTAAATAAAATGTAAATATTATTAAAATCTAAAAGTTGAATATTTAGAAGATTTGGACGGAATATTTTGAAAATTTAATTATGGATAAATTAGATTATTGTAAATATAATATTCATAAGTACAAGGAAACCTTTCCGTCCTTCAAAGCCTTTTTAGTCAATTCTACGCAGAGATTAACTTTGGCAGCCAGGCACAAATACTTAAAAAACCTTTGATGAGCGGCCCAAAATTGACTCCAAAATTGTTTTTTGCTAATGTTTTCACCGTTGTCCATTAGATCCATGGCTAGTTGAAATTTTTCGCGAGTTTTAGCCCACTGATTTTATTTTTAAAAAAGTAATTTAAATTGTATAGATCTATGTTTAATATGATAAATTGGCTTCCTTAGTACTCAGCCTATTTTTGTGACTTAATTATTTTAAATTGTATCCAAATATTATTATATAATTATTTATTTCATAACATTATTTTAAAATTTATTTTGTATAGCACAGATTGTCTCAATTTCAATTTAAAAAATGTTAAAGTTTTACTTCCAAAATACCCATAAATCCTTCTGTTTATATTTAATTAAATTATTTGCTTCTAAAATTTATTAAATGTTTAAAAAATTTAATTCAAAACTAAACTAGTAAAACGGATGCATCGTAGATATCTATAATATTCTGATCAAGCTTGGCTTCTTTAACCGTGAAGGTTACGCCAGCAAAACTCAGCTGACGGGCCATATAAGTTCCTCGTAGCTATTTCCAATTGTAAATAAATATTTTTAAAAATAATATAATTTTTAAATCGCCTAATTTTATAAAAAAAAATTATCTAACAATTTAAGCAATAGTTACAAAAAAGGAAGATTTGTCAAAGCACTTATCATATATTAAGAAAATATATCTCTTATTGATTAATTGCTTTAATTTAAAATGGTGTATTTCTCGAATTGATACCAGCCTCGTAAGTAACTGGGGTATCCCTACATAATAATGTGAAATTATATATACACTACCGGCCATAAATGATTGCCCACCCTGCATTTTCTTAACATTTTTCTTAAAATAAGACACATAACACACAATATAAGGTTTATCAAATTTATTTATAAGTTTACATATTATTGCATAAAATTACAAAAAATAAAAGACATAGCAATCAATTAAGATCAAATTTTGGTCTTATCAATATGAACACCTTTATTCTTAATAATTGCTGCAAAAATTTTTGGTAATCTTTCGATGAGATTTTTTAAATATTCGGAAGTGATATTGTTCCATTCTCTCTATAATACTTCATAAAAGTGCGAATGAGAGGTTAGAGGGCTTTTTCGCCCTTGTCGATCAAGGTAACCTCATAAATGTTCGATTAGATTGAGATCGGAAGACTGGGATTGTCAAGTCATCAACTCTAGAATACCGTGTTGTTGTAGATTTTGTAAATAATCTTTGCATAGCCTGGATGTATGCTTTGGGTCATTATCTTGTTGAAATAAAAAGTTATTCCCGATCAAACACTTTCCTGATGAAATCACATGGTCCTCAAGGATTTGCCGGTATCCCTCCTTGTTAAAGATTCCTTGAATTTTGACAATATCGGCGGTTGCCCCGGCACCAAAGAACCCCCATACCATAACAGGCCCTCCTGCCAATTTGACTGTAGGAATTATGCAGTGATCGCTCATTCGCTCTCCAGCTGATAGGCGGATATATTGCCTTCTTTTAGAACCGAAGATTTCGAATTTTGACTCATCACTCCATAGGACGTGGTACCAGTTGGCAGATGTCCAAAATTGATGTTTTCATACCCAGTCTAATCGCTTGAGTTTATTTTTTTGCTCAAGAGTGGCTTTTTGACAGCTACCCTACCATAAAGTTCAAAGCTCTTAAAGTGCCTTTTCACAGTTGTAACACTTATCGGGTTTTCCCGAGTCAGATTAATCTCCGCAGCTATCTCTGAGGCGACATCACGTCGATTGCGTTTACTGATCCTTGCTATATACCTATCATCGCTTAAAGTCGTTTTGCGGCAGGCCTCTTTGGATTCGATATTGTATTATTGTTGTGTAATCTTTTAAGTATACAATCGACTGTTCGTCGTGCTAGAGTTAATTCTCTGGCAATTTGGCGATTACTTTTACCACTTATGTGTAAATTAATTATTTTGCATTTAGTTGGAATAAAAATTTCTTTTCTTTTAATCATATTGGTCGAATGTTCATTAAAATTTATAAAGACTGATAGTTTCTTTAAACAATGATTTAAAACAAAAAAAAATCTAGGATTTTTTTTCAAAATAATTAAAAATAGGTATTAATAAACAGATTAGAATGTGATAAATACTTTCTTCCAAAAAACAATGGGCAACTTAAAATTGTTGCTGAAAAAAACTAATGAACCCTATTTTACCAAATTGGTCATTTTTGACATGTTATTCTCAAAGGCTAAAATTTCATAAAAAGATTTATAAAAATTCCGAGTTTTTTATTTCTAAACATTTCTAGACATCTTAAATTAATTAATCAATTCGTTTTTACCCAAATAAGTTGAAAAGTTTTAAGTTATTAATTTTTTTATGTGAAAATGCAGGGTGGGCAGTCATTTATGGCCGGTTTAAAAGGTTACTTTCATATCCATAGCTACAAGTTCCATGGCTCCGACACCCCTGTTAAACAAATAAATATTTTCGATGAAATTTATGATTATATAAAATTATTTACTGGTAGAATAATATAAATTGTAAAAGAATAGCAGAGAATTGCAGACCCGGCCCAGACTAAAAATAAAAGAATGGATGGTACCTCTGCAGGACATTGAAGATTAGTCTTAAAATTTTGAGAGGTGACCACCCCAATTTAGCGAGAATTGATCTCCATATCATTTAAATTGATTAATAAGATGTTAGTGAAAGCCCTTAAATGAGTAAAACCTTCTCTCTACGGCCAGTATGAAATCGCTGAAGAGAGGAAATGGAGTCCCTCGGCCCCAGATGCCCAGACGAACCATGTAACCCATATTTTTGGTTTCAGTAGCCCCAGTAGCAGAGGCGTACACCACCCTAGCCAACGGCAGTCTGTTTTGAAGCTCAAGAACGGCTAGCCCCGTTTTAGTCGGTTTGGAAGACCCCGAGGGGGTAAGGTTTTTGGCTTTGTGACATTCGTCAAACACTATCTGCACGAATGATCGATTATTGATAAAAAAAATATGGTTTGAGAGAATGTATTTTTTTTAAGAAATGGATTGCTACCGTATTTCATGAAATGTAAATGTTTTTAAATAAGAAAAAAAAAATTAATTATAAATATAAATCGTTTTCTCATCACTATACAAGAATTTTTTTATAATATTATTCTATAACTAGTATTTAGCTCCTGAGTTTATACAAAATTTTATGAACAAAAATAAATTTTTTGATCAAATTTTTTTCAAGGTGAAATCACAAAAATTTTTTCAAACTCTGTTTAGCTCTAAACATAAACGGTATGACATTTTAATGCATTAATAAAATTAAGTGTGCGTTGTTATTTCGAAAATGCTATTATTAAATCTATATCAGTTTAAATCATTTACCACTCCGTCAAAATCTTTGCCGCACCAATGTAGCAACTGTTTCATCCGGGTATTATATTTGCTTTTGGTTTGGCTCTCGCCTATCAACGAGGAATAGGTAGCAAAAATTACGCCCTTCTTATAAGAACCGTTACTCTTGGACGTCAATTTTTTGTATTTGAACTATATGATTTGAAAAGAGAAATAAAATAAATTGAATTACATTATAAAGTTAAATAATATAATAGCATGATACCATTATTCAAATAGTTTATAAATAACATTATATAAGAATTAGAATTTAAAAAAATATGCAAAAACTAGTTTCTTTCCTTCTTTACTGCACTTGTCAATATATCTTTGACAGACTTAGAGGGGAAAAATTTTGAGGTTACAAGGCCGTCAAAATCGGTCCGAATTAGCTGCTGTTAAATGATTAGTTTATTGTTTTAAACAGGGACTTGAAAGAACGTTCCTGGTTTAAGAAAATTCATGAAAAGAGGGCGGAACAGTATAAACCTTCCAGGTAGGGTCAGAACATTCCTATAATCTCAAAAAAAAAAAAAATTCAATACCAGCAACAAAAAGCAACCTAAGAAATTAAAAGGAGGAAAACAGAAATAAAAACAAATATGGGCAATGAAATATGAATATGGCACATAAATTTTGGAATAAAATGAAATGATTAATGAATAAATTAATATATTCAATTTTGTTACGATATTTTATCTTTTAGTTGACCGATGTCGTATAACATAAGGTTTATTAAAACATCTTAAACTTATCGATGTAATAATTTGATTCAAATAAATAAAACTGTATAGTTTTTAAAAATATATATATTATGTTTGATATTTTTCTAAGAAAGCTCCATATCCTGAGACGAAACCAGAACACATTTTTTATTTTTTAGCAGGAACAGAAATGAAATGCCGTTGTTCCGGGTCCCAAATTTTAATTAAATATTTCTAAATAAGAAATAATATTATTTTTGTTAATATTAATCTCGAACTTTATTCAAAGATGATACATTTATTTTCCCGGCATCTATATCCTTCAAATCTCTCTCGGCGTCGTATTTCAAATCGTTAGACACGCTGAACCTATTTTTTTTAAATGAATAAATTTTCAAAAAATTATTTTGATTTAATTATTTTAATTTATTGATTCCTAATCCTTTTTTTATAAAAAATATTCCTATCTTTATTTATTTTTTTGGATAAATTAAACGAATCTATAAAATGATAAAATTAGGAAATTTTTTAACCAAATAGCCCTTTTCCTTCTAAGAAGATAATTTTCGTATATTATTCCCGCTATTGTCCGACCTTTGCCCACACCTGGACCATCACCTTAATTAAAATTAATTTTTTTTTCGAATAGTTGATATATTTTCAGTGATTTACCAAAAAAAAATATATTTATTAAAATTAAACAGAAATAAGGCTAATTTACAATTGATTAATAAAGCAAGATTGTGTCATACATAAGTTGCTGTTTTGTCTTCAAAAAAAATTGAATTCTTAAATATAAAGAGCGTCGTATTCCAAATAAACAAATTCTTCGAAATGGCTATATATTCCAATCATATATATAGAAAACGTATTAATCATTTCTCGAATAAAACGTAATATATATATATAATAATATAAAAAAACTCACGTGACAGTAACTTATTTGGTCATTCATTTATTAGCTTAAAAAAATATGTATATATCCTTGATCAAAATTATTGCTTTCCTATCCTTGAATTAAACAACTATATTATAAAAATTGAGATTAATAGCGGTCGTTGTAAAATAAAAATAGTAATGAATTACAAACAAATAAAGGTTAGAAATATAAATAAATGGTTTCAAAAAGGTAGGTAAAAACATTTTTTAAAAAGTTTAAAAATTTGGTTACTGAAATGATTTAGAATTAGAGTATGAAATTTCCAGAGTTGTTAAAGTAGCGCGTTATTATAGTGCGCTACTCATTTCAGTAGCGGTACCCGCCTTTCAAATAAAAACGATAGCGTGCTCCTTAGTAGCTAAGTAGCGGCCTATTTCGCTATTATTAAAATGCAAAAAGAAAAGTAGAAGCTAATATTTAAAAGGTAGCTTATGTTTAACAACACTGGAAATTCCCTTCTTGACAAAACATTATTTTTTAAAAACCTATCAAGAATCCAGCCCTTGAGCCATCAGGCAGCAAAGTTTCGTGTTGCTGACAAGCATATATGATAGATTCCAACTGCAGCGCTGACAGAGCGCAAGTGTCTATGATAGTTTCCGGCAAACTAAGGGTATACCATACCCCGGGAGGTTCGACGCTCGATAGAGAATTCGTTTCGACTACTGAGTCGGGATGTTGGCAACCGTACCTCACTTGAAATAGGGGAGATTAATAATCAGTTTAAAAGTAAGTTTAAAAAAATATGTCATAATTTTTTTATACATAATACCAGGATTAACAAATTTATAGAGGAAATTCATTTTTAAGTTTTATATTTAGCGTTAAAATTATAAGGAATTTTTCCCGTTGCCTAACAGAGTTTGACACTGGAGGCAAATTCGAAAAAAAATCTAACATAAAAGGGAAGACTAAATCTTTTTATTTGTCGTTCTAATCAGGTCTCCTTCCGCCAGTGCCATGTAGAACCCTACAAGTCGGCCTAACCTTGGTCCGACTCAAAATTCTTATTTATTAGCTCGGTCTATAAAGATTTTATATTTTAATTTATTGGGTCCGAACTAATTCACGTGGGTATAACTTGCTACTATACTTGTGTTAAATAATAAAAAATAAATTTAATTTTCTGCATTTTCTTCAATTAGAGATCTTGAGGAATCTTTCATCGTACGCAATATTTTTAGAAAAATATATGGTCGAATGGTGTGGTGAATTAAGTTGGAAGTTTTTTTAAAATGCCTATTTTAAACATACGAAAATAAAAAAAATTTCTTTTTTGTTTATTTTTTTTTGGAGGGAGGTGGGGTTGGGGGGTGGGGGGGGGGGGCTAATTTCTGAAATATCAGGGATTTTATTATTCAATCCAATTTTATTTAATATATTCAATGTTTATTGTTTTTTTTATAAAAGCTAGACAGTTTCATGATCTTTTGAGTTTATTATTTCAATTGCAGGCCCAGAATCCGACCTTGGCCATATAATAGAATTGTTTTAAAAATCAGAAAATCAGGTCGGTTCTTAAAAATAAATTAAAGCCGGGCAGACATATTTTTAAAAAAAATTTAAATATATCAATTTTCTAATTCGAGAATCATTTAATTGACCACTTACCACATTCATTGCTACTTATTAGAGGTAAAATTTTGTTCACAGCTGTCCGTTATTATAATTTGTACACGTTGTCCGGTTCGGCCCGTAACAGTATGTTGCACAATTTGTCATACCCGGCCAAAAATTCAATCAATATTTCGGGTATCGACCACTTATATAGGTCAAAATTGAAATTATAAACCGCAACCAACCGATCCATCTCTAAAAATCACTTTAAAAACCAGCCGGGGCGTAATTTAAAAATTCGTGCTGAGCCCAAAAATTGAGCCTATTGAAAGGTCTCCGACTCTATTTTATAGCTCTTGGGCTTAGATGATAATTCAAATGCTTCACTAAAAAAAATTAAATCTCCAAATTCATCGCTCGGAAATTGAGACAAATGTTTTTTTATTTGGATCTCGTATGTAATAACATCGGAATACCGTAATTCACCAAAACGAAGCGTAATCTACGACATACGTAATATTAAATTATACAGGTATGCTAACGTTTAGCAATAGACTACACGTCGCTTGTGCGATATCGCAGCATTTCACGTTTAATATAAATGAGGTCTCATTCTGCTAACAAAAAATCATAAATGAGGAATTAAAAGAGTGAGCACAAATTTTTTTTTTTTTTGGGGGGGGGGGTATTTTGATTTAAAAAAAACCTAATTCTAATAGCCATCCAGTATTTAAAAATAAAATAATATTTAATGATTCATTATGTAGTTGTATTTGTTGACGCATAATAGCGATCAGCGAAGGTTTAAAAATTATTAAATTTATTATAAAATTCGAGTCTTGGTAAATGACTCATATGAATGTCATCTATCAATATTTACTAATACTTTGATAAAGAAAATTACAATCATAAAAAAGAAGCTTATTGTGTCAACCTTTCCCCGATAATTATCTCACCGACTAACCCTGCATTCATAGCTAGCGCGAATTGGCGGCGAAGTATACAAAAATGCAGCATTTTGTATTCTGTTTTTTTATACTTCACCGCGAATTCGCGCTGACTATAAATGCAAGGGTAATAACGGATAGTCATTGTTGCATTGCAAAAATCTATTTAACCAAACTATAACTGTATCTTATATATAGCTTCTTTTAAGTAGCATTGTGTCCTTTCAAAATGATAGTGACTTTATTTTAAAAAATAAATGCCATTTCGTTAGGATAAAAGATATGTTTTCAAACGACAAAAATAATTTTATTATGATAATGAAAAGGACTTATGTTACATAAAAGGCTACGTTATTCGGTAAGTCGAGTTAGCAATATACTTTTTCCAATGGGATGGTCGGGTAAGATTAGGACACCAGTTTAAATCAAAGTATTATATGGATAAAAAAAAATTTGAAATAATAATCCGTAGAGTTTAGTATTCTTAATTTAACCATTCCCGAATATTATAAATAGTTGTTTATTCTGGTGTACAACAGCATATATTTTGGTTTAGGTCTTGAAAAAAAAATAATTAAAAACCGAGCAAGGCAACATTAATGAAAAATTAAAACCTGGCCAGGCTGGGTCGGGCAAAAAATTTTCCCGGCGAGGCTTGATAATTTTACCATTTACAGGCCTATAATATTTACCCATGGCCAGCCATATTTGGATTTGGAGATATAAGTAATATTTTGAATATTTTTTTTTAAAAAAAATCAGGTTATTTCAGCATATTTCGTAAAAAAAGTTTAGTAAAGGTCAATGACCAGTGGTCTTTGTAGTCGGTATTCGGTTCGGTCTGGACCGAAAAAATTATATATTATTGAATATTATAATTAATATCTTTTTTTAATATAATTTTATCAAATCGAAAAAATAAACAATTCAATCAACTTCAGTTCCTTGTGAATAATTATTTTCCGAGCAAGTGATTTAGAATCATGTTTATTTGGTCACGAGCTTAAAAGTGGAATGTCTGATGAAGAAATTTTTAGCTATTCTTAAGGCTGTTTCCAAAAGATCCAATTGGAAAATCACAAAATAAGTCTTTCTATCCTTTCGTTTTCTTTAAATTTTTGAAAGAGATTTTGGACGCAACCTAATGAAACTAGAGTAATGACATATAATAGTACCTAGATCATTTATCTAAATATGTACTAATACAGATAAGCTGGCAGTACGCCATATTATTTTCTCATATAAAAAATTCATATTCAAAAATTTTATGAAAGCTATTTTTTTTAAATCATAGTTTTCATTTATAATATAAAAAGATTCTGTGAAATATAAAAATGTCGTGTCACCAAGAGCTTTGTATTCATCGTTTCAAAATACATTTCACGAATGAATCGTAGGTCTTAAGTAAGCATCAGGTACTTAAAAGCTTAGTTTTAATTTATTAAGTGCGCATAAAAATTAAAATAAGTACTAATTTTGTTTTGTAGTAATTAGATATCTATAATGCCCGGCCCTGCCCATAGGTTCGGTAACGTTTGGAAAAATTTATTTAAGCCAGGCCGGGCAAAAAAATAAAAATTAGAAATATATGATGCGTTTAACAGAGAATAGAAAAAAAATATTCTAATGCCTAATTTTGTTAAAATAATATTCTCTTATTTTGTTTATTTCCAAAATTAAATGACAGCTAGTATTACACTATGATCATTCATTTAATACAATGACTTTTTTTCTTTTCCCATTTGTGTTTATTGCTATAATAATAAAATCATGAAACCTAAATCCTCATCATTATCGGTTATTTTCCATAGGATAAATTTCTAGATTAAAAAAACCTAGTTGGGCAATGTTAGAAAAAAAATTAGAACAGGGCCCAATACAAATTTGGACTGGCTGGGCAAAAATTAAATTCCAACTGAGCCAGGCCTGTATATTTTGCCATTTACAGACCTTTAATAGTAAGTGCTAATGTTGTTAAAATCCTCAATTTTACCGATTTTTAAAAAACGGATAATCAATGATATTTTTTGACGAAATCTCAAGGCAATCTTTATTTCACCTTTTTAAAAATCCGCTAAAATTGCGGTTATTAACAACTGATGGGGTGCTAACAAATGTCTTGGAAATTCACGAACTAATTTTTGCTCTCGGGGAGCTAAGCACCTCTTTGCTTCCCCCTCTTAAACCAATGATCGTCACTGTTGTATTAGTTATAATATTTTTCCTATTTTCCTTTCGATGATATAAGTATTTCAATTATATATTTACAGATATTTTGTTTTCAATTCAAAACAAAAGATAAAGATCGGGAAATTAAGGTCCAGTTTGGTCTTTATGTTATGGTTTATGGTTAGGTTTGTTTTTGAAAATCCGAACTGTGACTTTCATTACTTTATAGTTTTATATCTCAAGGTACAAATTTTCAAAATGTATATTTTATAAAAAAAACTATTAAACATTTTGGTAACTTATAAGTAAATAAGAAAAAATTAGCATATCTCATAAAATAGAATAAAAATAATCTTAAAATGTCTTGTAATTTATAACTGTTAAAATTAAATTTTTCCTCCTAATAATTAATGAGCCTTTGATTTCTGGTAAATCTATCAATTAAACAATTTAATTCATATCAAATTCACAAGTAATTAAAATATTAATCAAAAACAAGAAATGTTTTGATATAATTAATTCATTTTCCTTGATCTTTTAATTTTTAAATGAGTTTTATAAGATCTTTAATTTTTCAATGTTCTTAGATTGGGCTGGCAAAATATTCATCCAATGCTATCCCTTTATTCTTTTAAACCTTGGATAATAAAAGTTGGTGATATTTTCTGGCTGTGTAAATGATAAATATTGGAGTGAATCAGGGGCAATATTTACTATGGATCAGGCTAATATTTTCAAAAAGAAAATCTAATCCAATATATTTTTGTTAATGTGTGACTATATAATTTTTAAAATATTTTTTATTTAAAAGTTGTTAATAATAATAATGAATAAAAGGAACATAAATTGAATTTATTTGCATTTAAAAAATTAAATAATTTTTTTTTTTTAAAAATGGCTAAAATATTGTACTATTTTTTTGTATATTATTTACAACTACTTTGGTTAAATGGCTCAAATCGAGCCATTCAACAACACTGTTCAAAAAAAATATTTAAAAGGCCACATTCAGCAATAAGCATTGCCCATTTCTAAATTAGCTTATTAACTTTTGAGGAATAAAAAAAAATACACTTATTCATTCGTGATAATACATAAAATATTGGTCAGGCTATAATTAATCTAAATGGTATAAATTATTTTTTAATTGGACCAAAAATAAAATTCTTTAAAGGTCCATTTGGGGCAGGTCAGCCTGTATTACTTATTACAACAAAAATGTGACCATAATGAAATACATATAAATCATGTTATTACATTTTTTGGGAATGTATTCAGCATAAGTTTCAATATGTCTTAATTGATCTTCCAATTCTGCTACTTCTTCTTCAGTGGCATCTTTATCTATTTGATTAGATGGGTTAGATAACCCCATATTCATATTACTATTGTTGTTTGCATACATCATGGAATTATTCTGATTTATAAAATTCTGTCTATGTATAAACCTAGTATGGTTTATGAAGCTATTACGAATGTTGCTCATCATGTTATCAGAGATGTTAGAGCTTAAGGCATTTGATTCTATATTTTCTTCATTTTTGTATAAACTAGTTAAGGTAGGGGATTGATTGAAATTTGTAGATGATTGCAAATTATAGGGTAAATCAAATAGTTTATTTTTTGTAATTTGATTGCTTTGTTCAATTGTAATTTTATTATCAATTAAATTTGTATTTTGGAATATGTGTAATGATTTATTTAGGTTTAAATTGTTTTTAATATTCAAATAAGGACTGGTGTGAACTTTGGTTTCTGTGTTGTTTAAATGATTGCTCACATTTATCGGGTTCTATATAATATATAGCATAAACATTTTAAATTTATGCAATGCAAGGAAAAACTAAATAATATGCAAACATAATTAAAGTTTAAAAAAATTAATATTTTTAACTTTATCATTGGAATAACTATTAATTGATGACAAATATTGGGAACATATATTTGGTTGACTATAGTGTGTGGTATCATTTTCAATTATATAACAGTCAGAATTTGAATCAAAAATATTTAAATTTTTATGTTGTATATTTGATGTTGTGAGATTCTTGCATGTGATTACATTTGGTATTTTATTAACATCAAAATAATTCAATTTAGCAGAGTTTGGAATTGTTTGATTGATTTGAGCATGCTTAATGCAATTTGAAGTATCAGGTATTACATTATTTACATTAATGTTTTCTTTAATATTTGTATCTACTCTAATGATGTTCAGTTTAGGTTGCAAATGAGGTGAAAGAATTGGGTTGATTTTTGAATTAGTTTGCAAAAATTTTAAAGTTTGTGGTAGTTTTATAATATCAGCTACCTTATTATTATGATTAATTTTATTAATCATAACTGTTGGAGAATATAATCTTGTTATTGTTTGATGTGTACCTAATAAAAATTATATTAAGCATATTTAATTAACAGAATACTTTTGTTCTGGATAGGAATCTCAGTTTGTAATTGATTTATTTTTTCCTATCAATAAAATTATATAAATTTATTAAAAGTAATCAATAAACATTATTTCCAACTTCTTTTTCTAAAAATATGTCCTCCTCGAATAATAAACCAGAATCCTCTAAGGCGGTCATTAACAAATCTTTTTTAGGAATAAAAGATCCTTCCATAATTAAAAACGAAAAAGGAAAAAAAAATAGAAAAAAAATGTAAATGGTTCCTTTATATACATATGAATAAATTAACCTATCCTCTAAAAAAATAGATTAACATCTATCATTACCGTATTAATATTTTTTCAATAGCGATAAAATTTTGTTAATTCTAGAGAAATAATAATAAATACATAAATAATTTATGCAAGATCTAATATTAAATAACAAAATGTGTTGCAATCTATTTTCAATGTTAATGTGATTTCTGTAGTTGATAACATTAATAAAGTGTTAAGATTGACAAAATTCAAACTCATTCTAAAGAGTTTATATAAAATCTAAATACTATAAGAAGTAGGTGGTAAAGATTAATGAGGGATTTATTTCTTTTGAGGGGATTAAAAAATTACTGGGGGCTTTACCCCCAGACGCCATTTGGGCTGGCCTTCGGCCGGGTTACCTTAGTCTATATTTAGTCAAAAAATATTTTTACAAGATAGGAAGTTAATTTTTATAAAAAAAATAAGACTGTAACAAATATTAAATATATTTTTATTTGTTTATATAAAATATAATAAATTACTTATATATGTCGTATGGGGTTTCGGAATTCGTGGGGATACGGAATTTCTCAATTATAAATATATTACTAAGGGCGATTTTTGGATTTTAAAAATCTGATTTTACAGGAATTGTATTCCAGCATATGTAGATTATTTACACTATAAATTTCAACCTATTTTATCGATCGACATTTTAGTATTTTTTAATTTATACAAAAAATCCATATAAAAATTAATATAAACTAGTAGAAAGACCGTCAAAAATGACGGGGAATAAGATTTTTATTCATTTTTTTACGATAAATGTCATGCCAGAACTAAGCTCATAATATTAGGAAGGTTCATGGCAAAATTGTTTGAAATTTACAATTTGGGTACTCTACCAGTGTTGTTAAACGCTACTTTTAAAAGTAGCGTACTATCGTTTTCAAATGAGTAGCATGCTAATAGCTACTTTTTACGCTATTTTGATATTTTTTTAAAATATTTTTTGCGTAACTTTATTTCCACAAATAAAATATTGGTATAAAAACATGACATAATTTGTTATATATATAATCACTTTAATAATAATAACATTTCGGTACTCTCATCCCCAAGTCTAGACCGACAATCAGAAAGCATAAGCTTTGCCATACTAAATAATCGTTCAGCATTAGCACTTGAGGGCAACGCAGTATTAAATTTAATAAACACAATTTTTATATGAAAATCATAAAAAATATTTAAATGAATATTTTTAGATTTAAAAAAAAGCATCTAGAGGTTCAATAATATTATTATTATTTATTTCAAAAAATCGTCTATGGAAGGCCGCGGTTTCGATCTTTCTATAATATTAGTATCATGGTTAGGCATGGCATATTTAACGTTACCATCAGCCTATCAAGTTGCCCTTTAGATTCAGTCAAATTAATGTATGGCCAATTTAACTTAAAACTAGGATGAACTATAGCAACATTATCATACAGATCTGGAAATCTAATTTATATAAAGCGATTGTATTTATAAAAAAAGAAGAATACCTTTTTAATTTTCAAAATTTAAATTTATCTGATATTTAGATTCATTTATAAAAAAATATTAAAAACCTTAAATTATGGTAAATAGATATTTTTAAAATATGATTATTATACACACAACACAAGGTAATTAATAAATATTAATTTTGAATTTTATAATAATACTATATATTAATATTATAAATTGTGTTGTAAATTAAACCAATTTAAATTACGGCTAATCAAGCAATAAATCATTCATTTTATATAATTGTATAATAGAAAATAAAAATAAAAATAGTTTTGACCTTTTCTCAATGCCTTGAACAGTATATTATAAAGTTATTATGACTTTGTCAGCCAATTTTTGAGATACACCTGGTGTTGATGAATCCAAATTGCTTAATTTTGTTTGAATTAAATTTGATTTATCTTCTTCCATTACCCAAAAACTTTTGAGATATTTTTCAATCTTTATAATTTGAGGTGTAAACAGTCTAAAATTATAACAGTAATACTTAGAATAAGGAGATAAGTACTAAAAATGATTGAAATAACTATTTTAAAATGTTTTAAATAATTTAGATAAAATTTATGAATATATAAAAAAAATGATTTGTCTTTGATTTAAATTTATTTTAAAAATTAAGGATTAGCCTACACATTGATATTAAATTTGTTTAATATATTACCTTTAAATGTTTTTTCAAATTATAACTGGTCGTATGATTTGAGGATAAATTTAGCGACACATTTTGCATCGAAACCGATACTCAGTAGTATTTTTTCTCCAAGATTAAAGTATTTTTTGAATTTTGGGAAAGGATAATCTATATTTTTCTCATTTTCCAAAGAAATTTAGCTATCTTCAACAATCTCAGACATTTTTAATAACTAGATTTATAATGCTAACTAGATTTATGATGTATATTTTTAAATATAAATTTCAATTTCAAAATTAAATTAAATTAAATAAAAGGATATAATTTTAAATTTAATAAAAAATATTTTTTAATAATTTTTAGATGTATTTATTATGTAAAATTGAAAGTAGCGAGCTACCGCTATTGCTATTTTCTAAAAAAAGTAGCCCGCTAAAGCTACCGCTACCGAAAAAAGTAGCGCGCTACTATAGCGCTCTCCTTTAACAACATTGTACTCTACCCATGCTCAGGGGCGTCGCTAGCCTTTACAATCTCAGGGGGCTCAACTAAAAAAATGGCTTCGCCCCCCATATTCCCTAATTTGCGGGCCTTCGGCCCTCTTTTGCCCGGCCTTCGGCCGGGTTATATATTAATATATTTTTAAAAATTATAAAATATCTTAAAACCAAATTAATTTACTTATTTTCTTTCCTTCTGTATCTACATTATTTATAATCATGTCATTCACAATACTTTCTTCATTATTTAATAAATCTAAATAAGGTTAATTTTAAAATGTATTTAATCAAATGTAATTTGTTGTAATAAAACTTCTTTATCCAATATACCTTTATATTTACTGCTATCAAGAATCTGGCTTGTTGTAGTATCCTCTTCGGAATCCATGCCTAAAATTTTATATTTAATTATATTTAAAAAATTAATACCTTCAGAGATATCTATACATTGGATCTCACATATATCTTCAGATTGAGCCACACATATTGCTTCAATTATTTTATAAATAAAATATCTTATATATAAATTAATTTACCCATTTTCTTTCCTTCTGTACCTACATTATTTACAATCATGTCATTCATACTTTCTTCATTATTTAATAAATCTAAATAAGATTAATTTTAAAATGTATTTCATCAAATGTAATTTGTTGCAATAAAACTTCTTTATCCAATATACCTTTATATTTACTGCTACCAAGAATCTGGCTTGTTGTAGTATCCTCTACAGATTCTATGTCTATATAAAATTTTATATTTAATTTAGTTATATTTAATTTAATTATATTTAATTTAATTATATTTAAAAAATCAATACATTAGAGATATTTGTACATTGGATCTCACATATATCTTCAGATTGAGCCACACATAGTGCTTCTATTATTTTATAAATAAAATATCTTAAATATAAATTAATTTTTTACCTATTTTCTTTCCTTCTGTACTTACATTATTTACAATCATGTCATTCACAATACTTTCTTCATTATTCAATGAATCTAAATAAGATTAATTTTAAAATGTATTTCTTTTCCGTGTATTTATTTTTGTAAATATAATATACAAAAAGTAATATTCCATATTATAGTGTCCATTTTTCAAAAAAATATATAAATAAGCAAACTATTCTAAATTTATTTAGCATTTTTATTAAAATATAGTTTATTATTGAGTTAGGATAAACAAATAAATATATAAGTATCAAATTATGAAAGAATGATTGAGTAAACAATTTAGCCAATATTATCTTTATTAATGTAAAAAGAATAATAGTGTATGATTTTTTAAGATATTGACTATTTATATAGAAAATATTTACTATGTTTTATTTAGCTAATATTTTGACATCACCTTATGTGATTATATTAGAAAATTTAAAAAAAAAATTTCCATTTCTAGTGTCCTGCTCCTGAAAGGTGAAAATATATTGTAAAGCAATTTTTGCTTAACTTGAAAACTTAAGAAATCAATATTGTTTAATACTCTGGTGAAAAATGACTTAAATAGAAATTCTATAGAAATTAGGCAAATTTGGAAGGAAATAGGAAAAACATATAACTTCAATTATAATCAAGTGAAAAAGAAACCTTCCATTAAAATAGATAATTAACTAATAAATTTTTATTTTTTAAAACTTAAATGTCCAAAGTGTTTTGTTATTAATTTGTGAAAATTTTAAGGATTTTTTCAAAACATTTTGGACACAGACTTATATATAAATTTATATTTTCTTTCTTTTAACATTTTTGTTTTCAATATTTATATCTTTTAAAACTACAATTAATCGTCTTTCAACTAAATCAAAGTTTGAATTTTAAAAACTGTATAAATTATACTTTGTTCATCACCAGCTTTATTATTGAATCCTCTTCTTTGGTCCTCAAGATTATTGCTACTTTTATCTTTAGTTTTTTTCATAAAGTCTTTAATGCTTAAATTTTTAAATCGCAAAGTCACTTTATTTAAATAGTGATTTTAAACTCGGCTTACAATATTAAATTTGTTAATTTTCAATTAATAAATCTTTATATTTATTTAATTAGGGTTATATAATAATTTAATTAATAAAAATCAATTAAACTTCAACTGTTAATGCTAAATTGATATTTAAACATTATGCTTGGTATTGATATTTTATTTTTAACAAAAAATTTGATTGCAAGCTGACATAGTGAAAATATAATTTATAAGTATTAATCTAATCTAATAAAATTTAGATAGTCTTATTAATTTTTAAATAATAAAATTAAATCTATATATTACTTAATAGAATTATAATAAACAGGGGACAATCAAAAAAAGTTCTTTTTAGTTTAA